CCCCCCCCCCCCCCCGCCCCCGCCAGCGCCCGGCCCGCAGCCGCCCGCCGCTCACCTCCATCCCAGGGGAAGTAGAGGCTGAGGATGTGCGCGCAGTAGGCGCAGAGGTTGTGCAGCCCCCGCAGGTGGGCCTGGAGCCTCCCGCTGGGCAGCCTGGCCTGCAGCAGCGGCGCCAAGTAGCCGAAGACAAAGGCGTCCAGCGAGGCGGGGCTGGAGCGAGAGAGAAGGGCTGCAGGGGAGAGCCCGGGGCCCGGGGGCGGGGCCCTGGGGGGCGGGACGCCCCGTCCTGGACCCACCGGGAGCGGGGAGGGCTCCCCAGGTGGGGCCGGCCGGGCCCCGAATGGGACTCTATCCCAGGGCTGCATAAAGGGCACATTGAGAGCCCCGCGGCCCCTCCTGCGCCTGGCGGCCCTCCAGCCTCACACACAGCCCCACTGTCATCGGCCCGGCCGTTCCGAGGACCTCCTGCACAGCGCCCGGGCCACCCCGGGCCCCGCAACGACGTCTGAACCTGCCTCTCGCCCCCCACCCCCCAGACCACCTAGTTTCCCCGGAGGCAGACTCACGCGTCCCCGAAGAAGAATTTCTGAGAGCCCAGGCGCTGGGAGAGCAGGGTCAGGCATTCTCGAGCCTCCTGGTACAGCTGCAGAGAGGACACGGGGCGGACTCGCGGCTGCGGGGACCCCGGGCACCCCCCCACCGCCGTCCCCGACCGTCCTCTTCGGGGCTCCGCTCGCACCGCGGCCCCGGCCCCAGACGCACCTCCTTCTCCAGCTCTTCCTCATTCTCCGGCCTGTGCTCCCCGCACAGCAGCTGTAGCCGCTCCATGAACTGCCGCTGCATGCGGCCAGGAAGGAAGAAGTTCAGGGGAAAGGGCATGGCCTCAGCGTACCACTTCCGGGTCACCTCCACATAGTTCTTGGTGTCCACCCAAAAAGTATGGATCTGGATGGGGCGGGGGGGCGGGCAGGAGGGACGAAGCAGGTCTGAGTCGGTGCACCTGCCTAACTTAGGGCGGGCTCCCTGTCGCGTGCGTGTGCGCCCCGCCCCCCCCTTCCTGGCCATGAACGTCGGGAGGTTCGGGCACACTCACCAGCACCGGGAGAAGCTTCTCCTCCAGCAGAGACATGAAGGCCAAGGTGTCTGCCCCTTGTCGGGCCGACAGATCGTAATCGGCGTTGTACTTCTGTGGAGGAGATGACCGTGAGGGGGACGCCGGGAGGCTCCAGGGGCCCTTCCCCAAGGAGGGAGGCATCCTGTCCGGCACCACCCTCACCGGCCCCTGCGTGTAGCAGAGGGACGCCAGGCAGCTCTTCCCGCCGAGGCCCCCTCGCCTGGGCCCGTCCAGTAGCCTGTTGCTGTTGGCGGAGAGCCTGGGCCTTGGAGCCTGCTGCCCATCAAGGTCGGGCGCCCGCTGGGGGGAGAGGAAGGCCCCAGCCGCAAACCAGGAGCGGCTCCTGGAGTCTCCACGGAAAGCTGGAAGCACGCCCGCTGACGGCAACTTTCTAACAGGAACTTCCCAGTCCGGGCACCACAGGGCTGGCGCAGTGGAGCTCAGATGCACTGTGGGCCTCAGCCCAGGCCTCAGGAACCAGGGCCCCCTGGCTGGTTCTCTCAATGCCCAGGTCTTGGCTGTTTGTTCCATTTCATTCCATGGCCCCGGTGCCACCACCGCACGTTGTACCCGCGCCCCATGTCTCAGCCTGCCACACCTCAGCAACCCCCTCTGCACATCCTGAGTGAGGTTTGTCCCCACATGACCTCTGGAGCCTGATCCTTAAAAAAACAAACAAACAAACAAAAAATCTCTCTGAGCCTCAGTTTCTCCCCTGCAGAATGGGGTAACAGCCCTCTCTCAATGTGGCTGTGTTAGGAGAAAACCCTGCAGACTGGAAAAACTGTGCTCATACATAAGGAAACAGGGCGGCGGCCCAGGCCCTACCAGGAACTTTGGTTTCTCCCTGGACCCCCTCTCCCCATGCCTCCCAGCTCCTTCACCTTTGGGAAAACATAAGAGGCTCCTACATCTGGCAAGTGTTCCCACGAAAGTTAGATGAGCCCTCGGAAAGCATCCCGGCTAAACCCCTAGTTTTATAAAGAAGGGGCTTACAGCTCTGAGAGGTGAAGCAGCTTGCCCAAGGTCACACAGCCAAGGACAGGATGAAGGACAGTCAAGATATCCCCATTCCTCTTGTAATACTCTCTCAACTTCCCCACCCTGGCTCTACGCCTTGTCCATCCTGAGCCCCATATCCAGCCCAACCTGGGCCCTGAGAAAAGGACAACGGCCCTGCCAAGTCCCTCTCCAGAGCCACCTTCGAGGGCCTCACCTGAGCCAAACGTTCTCTCCTGCCCTCCTTTCCCTTCTAGGTGTCATCAGCCCGTTTACCTCTCCTTCCCTGCCCAGCAGGCAGAAGGCCCTGTCCCTCCGGATACCTCCCCAGCGCCCCAGCTTAACGCCTGGCCGAGCGCTTACTGAATCCACACAGTGTGTCTGTCCCATCAGACTGTGTGCTCCTTGAAGTTGTGGGCCTCCTGCTTCTGGCTCGGCACAGATGACAAATGTGTGATGCGTTGACATGACTCAACCACTCTCACCGGCAGCCCTCCTACCCAAGCCACCTACCTCTTTTCGAAGATGGGTGATGATCTTGTGTGGCACCGAGATGACCTCGCCGTGACTGGTCCGAAGGGCAGGCAGAGTCCCTGACATGGAGAGAAAAGGACACCCACAGACCCTTAGCTGCCTATCCATGTGTATTTACACCACATTCCTGTCTGTCTCCTGCTCCTCCCCTTCTTCACCCCCCAGGGACACTGGGTACCTGAAGGGCTCCGCCAGGGGTTGGTGATCTTGTACACCTTGAGTGGGGCACCAGTAAATCTGGCATAGGTCTGCAGGGAAGGAAGCAGAAGGCAGAGAGGCCCCCACAGGGGAATCAGGAAGAGCAAAAACGGGCTCCTGGGTGGCTCAGTCGGTTGGGCGTCCGACTCTTGATTTTCGGCTCAGGTCGTGATCTCACGGTTGGTGAGTCCGAGCCCTGTGTTGGCCTCTGCACTGACAGTGAGTGCGGAGCCTGCTTGGGATTCTCTCTCTCCCTCTCTCTGCCCCTCCCCTGCTTGCATACGCGCAATCTCTCTCTCAAAATAAATAAACGAAAGAAAAAAAGAAAAAATATTTATTGAACCCTTTTTGTGCTGTGCTTGGTACTTGCCTCACAAAGAGGTG